ACCGTCACACCAGGTTACACACAGGTAACACCGTCACACACAGGTAACACACAGGTAACACCGTCACACACAGGTTACACACAGGTAACACCGTCACACACAGGTTACACCGTCACACACAGGTTACACCGTCACACACAGGTAACACACAGGTTACACCGTCACACACAGCTGCTCACAGGCTCAATAAACACCTGGATAACACACAGGCGAGACTGCAGCTGTAAGTTAGACATTTTAACATGGGGCTCTATGAGGACTGACTCACTGCAGGAGACAGACTCTAGTGGACACTGGAGGAACTGCAGCTGTAAAGTTGGAGATTGTGGTACTTCAGTGTTGACCCTGAAAGTTACTGTTTGGGTTTCCCTGTGTGTGGACACGGTGTCGGATCACTCTGTCTACCTGATAAACACTTGAATACAGACTTTGTGACATCATCACCATCATCAGATGTTTAAATATTTTGTTAAACAATGGTAGGGGGTCACCTGTTAGGTATTCCCCTCCTCTGAGTTACAGTCCCCCTGCAGGTGAGACAGGAAGTAACCACTTGTGTCTTTTAAGGAGACAACAGAAGCCCATGGGTTCGATTCCGGCTGGAGGATGGGTCCTTCTATTACTTCCACCTGACTCACCTGAAGGGCACCTGGGACAGACCCCCTGGCTTCATCCACAACAATGTGTTCCTGGACCAGGACCAGATACAGGTCAGACTCACCTGAGGTTATCATGTGTGATGTCATGTCTGAGGTCATGTGTGATGACATGTCTTCCTACAGGAAGTGGTGAGCAGTGTTTCGGGCACGTACAGTCGCAGCGCGCTCTGGCGGAGCAGTGAAGCCCTCATCATTCGCCTGCAGGCAGTCAGTCGGGGTTTCGTGGTCAGAAAGAAGCTGGAGGCTCGACGGCGTTACCTGATCAGTCAGACACCTGCTGTCATCACCATCCAGGTGAAAACATGACCGATTGGTGAAATCACTACAAGAATTTGTTTTTACCTTGATAAGTAAAAAACTGAGATTGAATGAAAGACTAAAGGTAAAGCGTGTGTTATTTTTGTGTCCCTCACCTGTGTCCCTCTTGTGTCCCTCTCATGTGTCCCTCTCATGTGTCCCTCTCATGTGTCCCTCATCTGTGTCCCTCACCTGTGTCCCTCACATGTGTCCCTCACCTGTGTCCCTCACCTGTGTCCCTCTTGTGTCCCTCTCATGTGTCCCTCACCTGTGTCCCTCACCTGTGTCCCTCACCTGTGTCCCTCACATGTGTCCCTCACATGTGTCCCTCTCCTGTGTCCCTCTCATGTGTCCCTCACCTGTGTCTCTCTCATGTGTCCCTCACCTGTGTCCCTCACCTGTGTCCCTCACCTGTGTCCCTCTCCTGTGTCCCTCTCCTGTGTCCCTCACATGTGTCCCTCACATGTGTCCCTCACATGTGTCCCTCACATGTGTTCCTCTCCTGTGTCCCTCACCTGTGTAACAGTGAAAGGTGTGTTCATACTATACTATACTCACCTGTGTGTCTCTGTGTTCAGTCTCACTGGAGGAGGGTTGTCCAGCAGCGGGTGTACAGACGGCGTCTGCAGTTTCTCTACATGAACTGGAGAGCTGTTGTCAAGGTAACGGTCCTTTCAGTCTCCTGATGAACGTAAACATGTCGTCATGTGGTCTCCTCTAAACTCTCTGAATACAAAGTTTATTTATCCAGCACATTTCATACTCTGTGTGTTTGAACAGATTCAGGCGTGTGTGAGGATGTGGTCGGCCAGGAGGAAATATCGAGCTCGGCTGAACTTCTTCAGGCGTCACGTGAGTCGTCCTGCAAGCTGAAGACAATTTGTTTCTTTGAACAGAACATTAAAACATTTCAGGTAATTTATTAATGTAATCCTCATTTCGCTTATTTTATTTTGAAGGGCATGAGGACATAAAACTTTATTTTATTTTGAAGAGGCATGAAGACATAAAACTTTATTTTATTTTGAAGAGGCATGAAGACATACAACTTTATTTTATTTTGAAGAGGCATGAGGACATAAAACTTTATTTTATTTTGAAGAGGCATGAAGACATACAACTTTATTTTATTTTGAAGAGGCCTGATAAAACTTTGATAAGTGCAATGTGGAGGAGTGCACGCAGCATACCAGCAGCAGAGGTCAATGCAATAGGCCCAATCCGTACCGTGTCTATAACCACGCTTCACCTCTAAAGTCCAGTTTGTTTGACCAGAGTGATCCAGCTGGCACGCTTCAGAGAAGTGCGTTCGGAACAGTACAGTTGATGCACGAGGCACGCGGGTACACAACGCTGACATCCTTCATTATGAAGAAATCCAGAGTTTCATGTCTGCATCTGACTAACATGACTCAAAAAAGCCACAATGTCTCAGCGTGCGCCGTGATGCTCACAGTCGTAGCATCTACGCTACCTCACATAGTTTTTACCAACAGATATCTTTATCATTGTGAACATCAGACACTGAGATAAAGACAGTAAGTTTTTCTAAATGTTCAAGTACAGTTTGATTCTAAAAGCCGGCTGCCAGCCAATCAGAGACCAGCATCCTCAGTGTGCTTGACTCAGGGTGAAGTTACTCCATGTGTCCACAGGTGGGTGCTATCATAAAGATCCAGGCCTTCTTCAGGGCTAACCGAGCCCGAGACCAGTACAGGATGCTGGGTGAGTTCACTGATGAGGGAACGTTAATGAGACGCTGCGTCTGATTGGTCTAATAGACCCACACTAGCTGACATCATCACATGACTCATTATAAAGCTCCTCCCCCTGCTTTTTCTTAGTGCACTCGGACACACCCCCTCTGTCTGTGGTCAGGAAGTTTGTTCACCTGCTTGACCTGGGCGACAGTGACATCAGAGAGGAGGCGGAGCTGCTGCGTCTGAGAGAGGAGGTGGTGAGAAGCATCCGCTTTAACCGCCAGCTGGAGGCGGACCTGAACCTGATGGACCTGAAGATCGGCCTGCTGGTTCGCAACCGTGCCACGCTACAGGTAACATGCTACAGATAACACATCACAGGTAAACACACACAACAGGTAAACACACACCACAGGTAAACACACACCACAGGTAACACACCACAGGTAAACACACACCACAGGTAAAACACCACAGGTAAACCCACCACAGGTAAACACACACCACAGGTAAACACACACTACAGGTAAACACACCACAGGTAACACACCACAGGTAAACACACACCACAGGTAACACACCACAGGTAACATACCACAGGTAAACACACCACAGGTAACACACCACAGGTAACATACCACAGGTAAACACACCACAGGTAACACACCACAGGTAACATACCACAGGTAAACACACCACAGGTAACACACCACAGGTAACACACCACAGGTAAACACACCACAGGTAAAAACACACTACAGGTAAACACACACCACAGGTAACACACCACAGGTAACATACCACAGGTAAACACACCACAGGTAAAACACACCACAGGTAAACACACACCACAGGTAAACACACACCACAGGTAAACACACCACAGATAACACACTACAGGTAACACACCACAGGTAAACACACACCACAGGTAAACACACCACAGGTAAAACACACCACAGGTAACCACACACCACAGGTAAACACACACCACAGGTAAACACACCACAGGTAACACACCACAGGTAACACACCACAGGTAAACACACCACAGGTAAACACACCACAGGTAAACACAAACCACAGGTAAACACACACCACAGGTAAACACACACCACAGGTAAACACAAACCACAGGTAAACACTCACCACAGGTAAACACACACCACAGGTAAACACGCACTACAGGTAAACACACACCACAGGTAAACACACACCACGGGTAACACACCACAGGTAACACACCAAACTGACTTTTTTTATGGTAATTGTAGGCTTGTCTCGTTAGCTTTAATAAGCCTCTGTCTAAACAGGAAGTGGTGTCGCACTGTAAGAAACTAACGAAGAAGAACAAGGAGCAGCTGTCGGACATGATGGACGTGGGGAGAAGTAAAGGACTGAAGGCTCTGAGCCGAGAGAGGAGAGACAGGCTGGAGGCCTACCAACACCTGTTTTACCTGCTGCAGGTGAGACTCACACACAGTCATGATCTACCTGCGGCAGGTGAGACTAACACACACACAGTCTTGATCTACCTGCTGGTCTCTCTTTGTTCTTGGATTGTGTGTGTGTGTGTGTGTGTGTGTGTGTGTGTGTGTGTGTGTGTGTGTGTGTGTGTGTGTGTGTGTGTGTGTGTGTGTGTGTGTGTGTGTGTGTGTGTGTGTGTGTGTGTGTGTGTGTGTGTGTGTGTGTGTGTGTGTGTGTGTGTGTGTGTGTGTGTGTGTGTGTGTGTGCGTGTGCAGACGCAGCCTCTGTACCTGGCTCAGCTGATCTTCCTGATGCCTCAGAGTCGGTCCACCTCCTTCATGGAAATGTTGGTGTTCAGTCTTTTTAACTACGGCTCTGACCGCAGGGAGGCCTACCTGCTCTTACACCTGTTCACAGAGGCTTTACGCTACGAGATCAGGTAAGGCACACACACAAAAACCAGGGACCCATGTGGCTATGATGTCATGAGTAACACCTGTCTCTGTTTGATGATTTCAGGTTGAAGGTGGAGCAGCCTCAAGACGTGGTCACTGGTAACCCCACCGTCATCAAGATGCTGGTGAACTTTTACCGCCACGCTCGTGGTCAGAACAATTTGCGGGACGTGCTCGGTCCAGCTCTGCAGGACGTACTGACCGACCGTAGTGTCAGCATCCGGACCGACCCCGTGGACGTCTACAAGACCTGGATCAACCAGACCGAGACCCAGACCGGAACCAAGAGGTAGAAACACATGTTGGTTTACCTGGAGGGACATAGAACGTGTAGACATTATGATAGTCACCAAAGAGGCCCCAGGTGCTGCTGAACATCCAATATATCAGTTTGAAGTATTTCAAACTCCTTATTAACAGATCAGCAGCTCAATTTGACCCTTTCTGCTTACCATACCTGACTCACCTGTTTGTCCCTGCAGCTCTCTCCCATACGACATCTCACCTGAGGACGCTCTGAGTCACCCTGAAGTCCAGAGACGCATCGACATCGCCATCATCAACCTGAAGAACCTGACGGACAGAGTGCTAAAAGCCATCACATCCAACCTCCACAAACTACCGTACGTCTCCCCCATTCACCTCCACTAACTACCGTACGTCTCCCCCATTCACCTCCACTAACTACCGTACGTCTCCCCCATTCACCTCCACAAACTACCGTACGTCTCCCCCATTCACCTCCACTAACTACCATAAGTCTCCCCATTCACCTCCACTAACTACCGTACGTCTCCCCCATTCACCTCCACTAACTACCGTACGTCTCCCCCATTCACCTCCACTAACTACCATAAGTCTCCCCATTCACCTCCACTAACTACCATAAGTCTCCCCATTCACCTCCACTAACTACCGTACGTCTCCCCCATTCACCTCCACTAACTACCATACGTCTCCCCATTCACCTCCACTAACTACCTTACGTCTCCCCCATTCACCTCCACAAACTACCATACGTCTCCCCCATTCACCTCCACTAACTACCGTACGTCTCCCCCATTCACCTCCACTAACTACCGTAGTCTCCCCCATTCACCTCCACTAACTACCGTACGTCTCCCCATTCACCTCCACTAACTACCATAAGTCTCCCCATTCACCTCCACTAACTACCATACATTTCCAGCCCTTCACCTCAACAAATTCAACAGTGATAAAACCGAGATCCTTCTCATCGGCACTAAATCCATATTATCCAAAGTTGGCAGTTTCTCCCTCACTATTGACAGCTCCTCAGTTTCTCCTTCCCCTCAGGTTAAGAGTCTGGGTGTCATCCTCGACAGCACACTATCATTCAAATCCCATATCAATAACCGGGTCTGCATACGTCCACTTACGAAACATCAACCGTCTCCGCCCCTCCCTCACCCCCCATACTGCCTCCATCCTTGTCCACAGCCTCGTCACCTCCCATATTGATTATTGTAATTCTCTCCTCTTCAGCCTCCCTCTTAAAGGTCCCATATTCTGCTTTTTCTGGTTTCATATGCTCATAGTGTGTTTTCCAAGTGTCCTGTGCATGTTTAGGAACATCTATGTGCAAAAATTCAAAGTCTCGAAACATGGCTTCTCCTACGTCCTCCTGTTAGCTGCAGCATTAGCTGCATGTAACGCTTGGTTCTAGCCCCCCTCGAAAAAAAATTGTCAGTCCGACGTCATTGTCAGTGTGAGATCACTGATCTAAGCCCATTGGCTCGTTGTGGCAAGCCCAGCAGCTCATGTTGCACGCCCATTAACTTCTGTAGCACGCCTACAATATGCCGTAGCCTGCGGTAGCACAGTAGTGCTAAGGTGCTAATGTTTTTGCTCCCTTCGGAAGCCAGTGGCTGCATTTGCTCCCTTCGGACGGAGCCAGTGGCTGCCATTCCAAATATGGTAAAAGAGGCGGGACATTTCCGAAACCGTGCTGAGCGACT